AGAGTTGAGCCTCTAGGGTCCACAAACTCGCCCACGCATCAGATGCAATGTTTCTATTTAAAGGGTGTCGCCCTTTCCATTCCATCATGTCACGAGATCGTATGTAACTCACATCTGGAGTTATGAGGCTATGAAGAGGGGTTGAGATACACGTCATCTGCCTCTCACTGTGTGTAACTTGGTGGATTTGTGTGTCTGTCTACATTTTGTGTGAAACTGACTAATAGGCCCTCGGGAAATCACTAAGCACCGACCCATCACGTCGGAAATCCATCATTCTTCATTCAGTCCACATCGGTGACACATGTTAAACAGCATGCAAAGAGTTTACAGATGCTGAAGTTGCTGCACCAGTTTTGGAGAGTAGAGATGAAGATAACGGAGGATTTTGATATTAAACATAATCGGTATCATGTTATATGCAAGAGCCTTTAAAGGAGAATTTAAGAAGATATGCACAATTTGAGAAAATGCCCTCAGACCTCTGAGGGTTAATGTTGTGAGAACTGCTTGCCAACATGATGTCCTCTACTAAAAATTCCTTTGGCAAACATAAGGAAATCTATCAGCACTGTTCCAACAAATGGAAATGGAGGCTTTACAGGAGAAGGAAAAAAAACTTGTAATGTTAATGTACAGTAATGTTACATGATTTTGTTCCAAGTCTTTGGACCATTTCTTTTGGCCCATTCGTGAAGAATTGTTAACAGTATATGAAGAGCAGCTCTTTCAAAAAAATAAATAAATAAGAAAAGTTCTGAAATTTCGATATGACAACAAAAATATTTGTTCATGGACGGCTCACATAACATGTAACACATTAAATATATTTTATTATGTGTTTTTTATGATAATGTGTAATGTTTATTAACAGGTTCCATCACACCTACTTTGTGGCAACAAAGTAAAGGCTTTGTTTCTTTTGTAATTAGGTCAGAAAAAAGAAGAAACTATGTTGATCTTGAAGTAATTAGTAGTTTTTTACACATATTGGGTCATCATAGCCACCCCAAATAATGACATACATTGTAAAAATGATTATTCTTCAACTTAATAAAGTAGGTAACCAGACTGCCTTAAAATTTATTTCACTGGGGAATTTCACTGATTTCTCAAAATCTCTGCCTAATTAATCATTAAGTGTTAACAAAGTCATTCCAAGTGGTTTGATATGAAATGCTTAATCCTAGAGAAACTTGAGAATTGTTCATGGTAGTGATAGGGACCAGACATAAAACTACTTAATTCCTATAAAACCTCTCTCGCAGAAAACTCTTAGATGAAATTGCTTAAGAATATGTTGCCTGATGCCTTAGACATGGTTTTATGATAGTTTTGAGATAAGATTTTGGCTTAAAATATACTTTTCTGAAATACATGACAGAAAGGAACACGCAGGTTGTTGTGAAACTAAATAGTTTTTTGCCACTATTTTGCTGTTATCAACATTGCATATAAAGCCTCAGTGTGTAGACCAACTGATTGTTCTGGATAGTAAATAAAATGGTTATATTTGATCTGTAGACATCAAAAGCCCTGGTTCCTATCATCACTGTAAAAAACATGAAACCATTCTGATTTTCTTTGTTTCCCCGCCCCCCCCCCACAAGACTGAATTATGCAGACAATTTTTAAAAATCAGTGGAATTGCCCTTTAAATAATGCAACAGATGTAAGACACAGATTAAGACTCTGTTAACGTAATATTTAATGTTCAGTGAACTCAAATTCAAATGAAGCCGGGTTACTCATATTTTTATTAAAACAACAAATCTCTCCACATAACTGGAGGGTTCAGTCCTGCTGTTCCAGGGCAGACTGACCTTGGGTCTGCATTCCACAGTTGTCATCTTTTCTGGCACTCCATTATAGATTAGCTTTAAGCACTGAGCTGTGCGCTTCGATGCATGGTGAAGTCCGGCTGGTCTGACCAGACGTCCGACACACTGCGTCCTGCGTTCCTCCAACAGGTGTGAGTTCCCAGGACTCCCTTTGATGCCCCGATGTTAGCAACAAGTAAGATGCAGATTTCAGGAGCAGGTGTTCAGCACCGTCACCCACAGCCTGCCAGGGGGGACCACTCGCCAGATCAGCTAATTACATTCCCCTCACCTCCTCTGTAAGCTCGTTTAGCCCACCATGGGCGCCAGAGACGACAGGTGGCGTCGCGCTGGCAACCCTGCACTCAGGTTCGATTTGAGGATGTGTGCGAGATTGCTCGTTTAGCTGAGCGTAAAATGCTCTGCAGCACATTTAAGCAAAATGGGTTATAGGTAGTCAGGACTGGAAAGGCAAAATGAAGATTTATTATGTCACCTGCCAGTAATGCACCTGCCATCAAAACGAAAAAGATTTACTATGAAAAATGTGAGTTAGGAGTGAATTTATACCACCTGAGCTTTTATAAGGCCCATACTCTGTTTTTTCGCAGATTCTTCCCACTTAAAACATTTTTATGGTTTTATGTACCACAAACATTCTTAACTTTTTACGTGCTCATTTTCTAAATTCTCTTTATCCCTCAGAATTAAACACAGTGTTTTTGTTTCTATGCTGTTAAGCCTGATACAGGTAAATGACCTGTGTTCTGATTAGCTGCCTGTTACTGTGTCTCAAATTTAAGACTTGTCCAGGCTGAAATATATAGAACTACCAAGTTTGGACAAAAATCCTGAGAAGCATTGAACAAAAATGAACCTCATCCACTTATTGTAAATGTATGTATCCTTTGGAAAGCTAAGCAATGATATATTATGTTACCGTAAAAAAAAAAATTCACAGTCAAAGTACTGTAAAATGTAATGGTCAGTAACTGTTTTAGAAAATAAAAGTTAAATGCACATAAACAAACCATACATATACTGTATTTTAACACTCCTGTTGTTAATTTACAGAAATAAAATGTAAATTCGCAAAAATAAATGATGTCTAAGAAATCTGTTGTCTGCAGTAACAACATTCCTTATCACTTCAACATGAATGGCCAGGCTAAACTTCTTTAGGCTGTGTTCACTGTTCATGTATGTGTTCATAGTTGTGACATCACAACTATTATGAATTCAAAACAAGCTGTTAGTCGCAGCTTAGTTTCCATAGTTTCCATACAGAGTACATTTTGAAACAATGCTTTCATAGTACATCAAACTCTTTTATTTCAAAAAACCAAAGAAAATTTGTTTCCATGTTAGGGGCCTTTTGAAGCTCATGAAAAGGCTGCACACGAGCAACCACCCATGAAGGATGTCAGCAGAATAGAGAGTGGTTCTTTTTTGTTTTAAAACCTCAACGGTTGTAGCAGAGGTGTCTGTCACAGTGCTCTCCCAGCACCCATGGGGTTCCCGTGCATTGTTCGCTAAATATAGCTGCACTTTGCTCGTCCCATTCATTGATGCACCTTTTGGCTTGTGTAGTGAGGCAGCTCGTGGAGTCCTTGTTTTAGCCTGGCAGCACCGGCTCCAGCAATGCCCAAGTCGTTCGTCTGGGGCAGCATGTGTCTGAGGCTGAGCGGTTCCGGGTGTGGTGGGCATCCTTCCTGCTCTGCGGAGCTTTCCTCCCCTGCTGACACAGCCTGGGTCTGGCTCTGAGACAAAGCTTCATCTCTACATCATTGTGCATCAGTAACAGGATCCAAACACCATTAACCCTTAGCCGTCTAGAGTGTTAGTGCCACTATTATTATTCACTATTTAAATTTCATCACATAATTAATTGCATACTTAGTTACATAGTTACAAATAAATTGTGTTTATGTTATGTGTGTCAGTTAACATTCTGCATTAACAGCTTCAGATCTGCATTTTGCATTCTACCTTCTGACAAAAAGAAGAAAAAAATATAAGGGTTGGTTTTCTTTCCACAAAAAAGACAGTGAAACAATATGTAGACACTAAGCTGAAAGAACAGCCTGTTTTGAATTCATTGTTTTTGTGTTGTCATACAAAACATCACATTTACTTATATCCGCCACTTTAGCCTGCAGAAGTTTAGCCTTGCCCATTCACATTGTTATAAAGTTATAAGGAGTGTTTCAGCCTAAACTTCCAATCAAAACCAAGGTCATTTACATATATCAGTTTTAAAGGCACAATAAAAACAGCCTGTTTAATTGTAAAAGAGAGGTTGGGAAATGATTGCATAAAAACAACGTGAAACTATACAAACATCACCAGTGGACCCCAGGCAAAAAAACAAAACACAAGAAAGATGGCGCATATGGGTTCTTTAATCCCTAAATGGCCAGGGCCTACTGGTGGGCCTAAAGTTTTATTACACGCTTCTATAACCTAAGAATAGCTCAGCCAGTTTGCAACTGTAGTTACTGAATAATAAGCCTCAGTATGTAATAAGTCTGAGATTTTAAGGGGTTAAAAAAATGTACATTGATGTATGTTTGATGATGTACGGTGGTGTACATCGCATATGTAAACATATGTTTTTATGCTCCATGGGAGGGTTAAATATTGTGGTTTGACTGTGCAGACAAAACCACAAGGCCTATGAAAGGGCATAAAGTTTGAGAAAGTTTGCAGAGGAATGATCTTGGCTTTTCTTGAGCGGCAGGGTGCAGTTAAGCTGCGAGGCGGCGGAGGATGCAGTGCCCTCGAATGACAACGCTGGCGATGATTTGTTTGCTGCCGATGTAATATTTTGCAAATGAGCATCCAAATCAGGGCTGAGCCTAACTGCACAGGCCCGGCAGAACAGATGGCAAGTCTAAGATGGAGGCTCTTTCTCTTTTTTTCCTCTCTTCTCCTCCTCGTTTGAAGCCGTGCACAGGATGAATGTGAAATGTAGGAGAGTGCTCTCTAGCATCCATCTCTCCTTCTGCACACCCCCTTCTCTTATCGCTCTATCCTTCATCCTGACACCTTTCCTTTTTAATGTTTATTCCCTCTACTTCGCCCTCCTTCAACCTTTTACCAAATGTTTAGACTAACCTCTCTCTCTCTCTCCCTCCCTCCCTCTCTCCCTCTCTCTCTATCTCTCTCGCTCTTTGGCAGCTGGGACCACATATATCTTTGGGAGAGGAGGAGCCCTCATCACTTACACATGGGCCCCTAACGAGCGGCCGAGCACCAGGGCTGACCGACTGGCCGTGGGCTTCAGCACTCAGTTGAGAGAGGCCATCTTGGTGCAGGTGGAGAGCACGCAGGGCCTGGGAGACTACCTGCAGCTACATATAGTGAGTTTCAACTGACCTTGAACTGCCCTTGAACTTCTACACCAATCAAAGGGATATTTCATTGAAAATAGACAATGCTAATGTGGCTAACAATGAATAAAAGATTATATTACCACAGCCTCTGTTGCTGAATTGCTAAATTGCTATTAAATGAACTGATAGCTTTAGTTTATTACACAGTGTTGATATGACTGACAGCATATGAAAGCTTATGGAGATCAGTTAGGATGATTTTGATTGCATAATAGTAAATTATCCCTACTAGGTTTACTTTATTAGGCAGTGCTAACATGACTAACAATGAATGAAAGCTTATGGGGATGAGTTAGCCTGATCTCAGTTGTGTCATGCTGAATGATCTCTACTAGCTTTAGCTCATTATTAGACAGTGCTGAGGTGGCTAATGTTGAATGAAAGCTTATAGGGACCAGTTATCGAGACCTCAGTTGTTAAATTGCTTTTAAATGATCCCTATTAGCTTTAGTTTATTGGACAATGCCTGTGTGACTGACAATGAATGAAAGCTTTTGGAGATCAGTTAGTGTGACCTCACTTGCATAACACTAAATGATCCCTATTAGCTTTAGTAATTATTAGACACTGCTAATGTGGCTAACAATAAAAGCTTAAACAGGCCAGTTGTCATGATTTCAGTTGCATAATGCCTCCTGAACCCTACTTGCTGTGGCTCATTATCAGTGGCATGAGCACAGGGATTTGGATGAGGAAAGCTGGTCTTAGTTTAACATAAAAGAGCTTCTTTAAAAAGAGACTGCTGTACCACATCACACCAGCACTGACATGTACCACCAGTGACATCCAAAAATGTAGAGAGACTGGGCTACAGGTGAAACCTCTGCTAATTTGCATCATCTCGGAGTATGGTCCAAGCAATTTAGTTGCCGTGACTTGAGCGTGCAGCCTCTACAGATGCCACTGCTGGTTTAGGGTACCCTAAGGACCTCTAAAATAAAGCTGATGCAAATTGAGTTGGATAAAATCTTAAGTTGAGTCATTTCTGAGGATGCTTCCGGCACTCTGAAAATATGAGGCCACATCAAGGCTGTATTCCGAGATCAAACTGTGCAAATAAGCCTTGTCAGTTGTCTCAGATAAGATGAACCGATAATCTAACACTGCTCATAGGAAAGATTACAAGAGGCTGATGAGAACATTCATCTGCATACAGTGTTAAGAACATGAAAACGGAGTGAGACTTTATAATTTAGCCCATTAAAACAGCATACGGCTGAGGTAGCATGACAGCATGACGGTAGATCAAGCTGGTAAATGGCTTGTTGACCTCTTGGCTTTTTACTGGCAATTATATTTCAAGTGAGGTAAAAAGATTTTAATACGTTTTCTTGGGATGAGTAATGAATTCGGTGCAAAGCATGGACTTTCACATCGTGAGCCTCCATAGCAGGCCAGGCATAAACAGTCTGACAGCAGCTGCTCAGCCAGACACAGAGCGGCTCTTGTTTTCAGAGCCTTTCCCCATTTGTTGCAGGCATAAAGCACAAGAACGGCTCATTCTGCTGCTGAAAGGCTGGGTTTGTGTGGGCTCTGTCAGATGGCTGTTTAGATGGTTCATCTGCAAAAACCCTCTTTCTTTGAGATGCCGTTCTAGCCCCAGAGCTCGTGCTCTCCACGATTGCGCAAGGGCATCGCTAGACATTGATTATCGCACATCAAGTGTGTGTGATTTGACTCGTATGATATATGAGATTTCAGCTATAAATAAAAGCAAGTCTGTAAAGTTTATGGTGAACATAAAGAGCAGGTTATGATGGGAGCTCGGCTTTCATGGAAAGCACTGCTTTCACCTCAGTATTTGTCCTTCATGTGAAGGGATTTACTCTGCATTGGAAATTACAACCAAGGACAGATAATCCAATTGGTCATGAGCTCGGCAGCCGAGCAGAATGACAGGCTGCTCCGGGAGAAGGAAGGAGCCCAAGGGAGCTGGAAGCGGCCGACCTTTGGGCGTTCCCTCTCCTGTGGAGCACACGCATTCAGCCGTGTCCCCTCGCCGTCTCCCATCCATTCGGTTCTTCGTTGCTCCAGGGCTGATGATGCCTCAGCGCCGCTTCCTTGACCACGGTGTCTGAAACTTGCAGGGAGGCGAGGGCTGATGAATGAGGGGCTGCAGTTGGAGGGCGAGCCGCGCTCACTGCCAGTAATGAGGAGCAGAGTGGTTTTGGTATTCCGAGGTGGCTGTGTATCGATCTACACCCAGGCTCTGGCCTCCTTCATCTCGCAGGCATTGTGGAATGAGGGTGCCATGGGGTTCACCGCCCCACCTGTCAGGGGCCAGCTGATGGATTAATGAAGCTTGTGGGTCTCGAGCGTGCCTTGAGTTAGCCCAATATAAGGAACTATTGGGGAAGAAATGATACAGCAGAGCTCAAAGATTCATCATCACCCTGCCTGTGACCCTCTTGTCCCTGCACCTGTAGGGTCAGGCAAGAGGTCAGTCTGGTGACCTCTGCCAGCTGGCCTTGTAGATTAGAGAAGCACCTACAAGTGGAAAATGCCTTGTTGCTTTTCACCACCACACACGAACATGCATATTTCTTATTATTTATCTCCATTAAATATTATAAATTTAATGCAGTTTATAGGAATGTTTCGTTGACTAAATCAGATTTGCACAATGTTGTGCCTACCCCAAGTGCAAGCTTGAAAAAAATAGCCATTTTGAAGGCTGAACTGTACATGTACTTTTGTCTATTTCATAGGTCACAGTATGACATCTAGTGTTGGAATCCACATAATCAAGTCTGTTTGAGCTAAGGCAAATTCCACCAGTCAGTCAAAACATGTGCATAATTTACTCGCTGTGATTTAACCAACGTCATTTTGAGTGGTTTGATGTTAAAATGGTTCATTGTAGAGAAACGTGTTGACTCCAATTTCTTCACATTGGTGGTGATAGGAACCAGGCGTTGTGAAGTCTACAAAAACAAAACCACGAGTGAACCTATGTATGACTTTTTAAAATTTTGATGATGGTTAAATAGTGGTAAATCTGGAAAAAATGTTTCCTTTGGGGACTATTTTGCCTTACAGTGCCTTGAATGTGCCTGTGCCTAATGAATGGATTTAAAAATTACATGTTAGGCCAAAACCCTCTCAAAACTAGCAGCATATTCATAAAAATTTCATGCAATAACATTCTGTGCAATAGCTTTCAGAAGCATTAAACTCTTCAGATGTCTGGTTCCTATCCACCATTGTGAACAATTCTGACTTGGTAAGTTTCATATCAGACCACTCTGAATGAATTTGTTTGAATTTAGTTTAATGTTTGTCTTAACTATTTCATCATACAGAAATTTTGAAAATTCTGTGGAATTCAACTTCATCGACACAATACTGTTTATGATGATTATGAAATGCTAATCTGTTTTGGGGTCCATTAACTGTCAAGGATATTATTCTTGTAGCTTCAGTGCATTTTGAGGGCAAAAAATGTCAGTTTAGGCCTTTTGGAAGTCCTAGATGTGCCACTGACTATACGAATGAGCGGTAGCAAAAACATTATAGAACATAGAAGTTGAAAACAGTGGCTGCTACTTTAGCAATGACACTCTTTATTGAAGGAGTCATATTAAATCAAATTTTTTGCACATTCAAAATGTCAAATTTGAATCCAGAATAGCCAGAAAATGTGCATTATCAAGTGTTTTTTTTCTCATTTTGACATTTACAGCCTGAACTTACTGGCTCCAATAGTCATGGTTACTCCTGCCTTCTTCTGCAGGATGGACTTGGATGTTCAGTGGAATGAACTGAAGTTGTCTAGACATCTTTGCTTCTATACTGGAAGCTTGAACTTTCACTGGCTCTGTAGGGCATATAGTCCCTAAGAAGAGGGTTGATTCACATCTTCCAGAGACAGAATTCAGGAGCTGAAACCTTTTCCACTATAATTAGCTCATGCCCACCATGGGTTTGATTAATAGGCAGATTAAACTGGGCCTCCACTATCATGTCCCACTGTTAGCTTCCTCCATTAGGTGGGTTCCATTGCACCTAGTGACAGAGGCTACTGCTGCAGATAGGCATTTGGATTAGAACACCAAGGGTATTCCTTTGGCATCATTATTAGATTGCCCATGGACTGATGTCTTTTAAGACGCAGCAGAATGTGCCTGATTTAGACTGAAAGAGAGTGAGTACCGTGTGGATTTTACTAAATTGACCTGTGACTGTCTTAGCTCTTTGGTCATTTTAAAGACAAAGAAAATTCTCCTCATCAGAGATGGTGAGCCAGATCGTCTCCTTTATATCTCTGCAAAGCCAGCAGCCCTGGCTGTGCAGCAGCTACAGAAGTTCACAGTGCTTTGAAATGTGGCTGTGCTTGGAGGTGCTACATCCCCAAACTACTCCATTCTGCCTCAGGCGTGGGGCATCCATCTCACATTTGACTGGTTGTGGAGCACTTTGGGCTGTGGAACAGATGCCAGGGGTGGGGGCTCTCCTCAGGGGAAATCAGTCTTTTTAGCGGTGTGTATCCCCTGGACAGATGTGCCATGATTAAAAACGCAGGGAAAATCTGTCAAAAGGCGGTGCCTGGGCTCATAATTAAAAGAGCACCTGTTTCTGAAAGAGTGGGCTCCAACCTTAAAGGTAGCATTGAACACTGACTCAGCATTTTGTCTTTCTTCTTTTTAGTCACCTTTCAAAATGTCTGACACCCACAATAAGAAATAAATCAAAATTATTTTAAATAAATTTTAAGTTACTGTAATCATCCTATAAATGCTCTGCCCACAAATGCATTATTTTCATGAGTTTGGACGAGTTTATTTAGATTTGATATTTGTAGTTCACTGCCTGAATACATTGAGTGTAGGTCTTTTTTTCACATAATCAAGAAATCACCAGCGTTTCCTTAGCACTAATATACTGTTAAAAATAGAGGTGCTAGCTAGGGGACAGGGGCTGTGAAATTAGCATTATCGTAGAGGTGTTCTTTTCTCTTCATTTTGACA